AGTGAAAAAAGAACTTTCGTAACCTCTTTCCGTGAATAACTCGCATTGTAAGGACAAGGATTCAATAAAACACAACATCCATTGTTGGTTTTATCAGACTTTCACTTCATTGTTGAAAGATTGTCTGAATCTATAAGTGTATTAGGATTCATTTATAAAGTGTACTATAATGTGCTGTGGATTCAGTTCGATTATTGGAGAAATACGTCGATTGTTGTTTCCCGAAGAAATGAATTTCGCGAGCGAGTAATCGGGTCTTGTGCACCGACATTTACATTTTGCATTTCTCGCCGAACTGCCGTCGGACTTCGGATATTACAAAAATAAACTTTGTTGACGTAATATTACATTTATATTTGAAGGAACTAATTTATTAAATTTGGATTGTTGTCATTAAGCGCGAAGCTGTGGTTTTTTTAGCAACGATTATGATTTTTTTACAGAAGCCTCAAGGTAAGTGAAAAGAGCGTCTTTGATTGACCGACGTTTTATTTTGGAAATGAGCGGAGCGTCGTCAACGGATGAAACTGAAGACTTTTTTATTTATTTTTGCGAAGAAGATGGAAATGGCGATTTCGACTTCGTTATTTGGTTCGTGTTTTCTTTCGTCGCGCCAGATGGCCTATAATTGTGATTATTCTAAAGTTTATGGAGTTGTTCTTGTTAATAAGGACAACTGAAATTAACTCTCAATTATACGGCTATCGCGATCATTAAACAGGAACATCGATAAATAATTTTGAATTCAAGTTCACATCTGTGCAACAGCAACATAGGTAAGGTCTAAGCTTTCATCTTTGTAATTGTGTCCAATCTGTGTTTGTTGCTGTGCTTACAGAACTTTGTTTTTGTTTTTGTTTTGTTTGTTTCAGGTCCCGCTCAAGTCCTGTGCCTCAACGTGGCGAGCGGGTGAAACAAAGAACGGTGCACGCCCGAATTTGAGGTCGTTGTTGCACTGATTGTAGAACCCTCAGTTTTGGTTAAACCGTTTTGTTAAATGTCTATGGTTAGGTCCCTCATGCGGAAGGGAAACTTTGATAGGGCGCCCAAAAATAAGTGCACAAATTATACTGCAACGTCGAAAACAGGGTGTGAAATCAACAATTTTTTTAAAAAAATCGGTGCTGTTTAATTATTTATTTGTTGTAATGAATTCTAAAATTTGAAATTAGCAGTTTCAGAAGTGCATCGTTCTTTGGCCAAACAGGATAAGCTTACTATAATGCCAATTTCAAATAATTTTCTGGTAATTTCATCCCCCTTCCATGACCTTTTCTGAGTGTACATTATTAATCTATTTCAAAATCCTGCCATTGTAATCTGAGTTAATATCTACCTAAAATTCATTTTTATATGCAAGATGGCAGTTTTGATAACTTACTGGCCTTCCATTCACAGGATGCACTTACTTCTGTAACATTCTGTACTAAGCTGAAAACAAAATCTTGCTTAGTGTTGAGATATGAAATAGTAATTCCTACCAACTTTCTCCAACAGAGTGGTAATTGACTAAATGGCATGATTCAGTAACTCAGCATTTTACCAAGAGAAGGGTTTTTTGACACTGTGTTAACCAAATCGTGTACAGAACACTGTGGAAATTGAGATTAGCCCTCATCATTTTCATCTACAATGTGCTGATGTTCCAAGTGAGTCACTGGCAGATTGGCAGACCTAGTAGAAAACAGTATTGTGTCTCTCTCTGTGGTCGTCACGTCGTCTTCCGTCGATCTCTGCTAGGCCTATACGAAACTTTGCAGCGTTACTGAATAGGTATTAAGAATTATACACAAGCGTTTTTTGGTAGATAAAAAGGTGACCATACAATTTTAATGTTAATTTTGACGATCATTATTTTTTGTAGTATGAAGAAAAGGTTACGGTACTACGTAACCCAACAGAAAAAGCATTGCAGCAGAATGTTTATTGAACATCGGACAATACGTGTCTTTGAGCAGATTGGTTATAAGTTCTCCCATACACGTGTTTCCTAACCATATTTTAATTTTGAAATGTTCCGCTCTTTGCCTTGCCTGTACAGTCAGGTTTGTGGTTGTCCCTAGTTGTAGTGGTGTATAGAAGTTGGTGGTACTGGTAGTAATAATTGGGCGATGGCCTAAAGAGACATAAAGAGAATGGATTATCGTTTGGTTTCGTGTAGGCAGGTTTTCTTTTGTTATGAACGAGGATACAATCTGTGAATCAGTATATTTAGTGGACAAGGCTAAGCAATGGATGTGGATTGTGGGGACAGGCAGAATGGTGTTTGTGCATTCAGTGATGATGTTGGTGTTAATCAGTGTTGAGTGATGTACAAGAAGGTGCTCCCATTCATAAAGTTCAGAGTTTAATTTAGCTATTTCCCCTCACTTTGAAGTAAAATAAAATATGCTTTTCCTAATCCTTTGAACTAGATAATCACATAGGTGTATAATATTACTATGTTTTTACTATTAATGTCATAATTTTTTTATAGGTTATTAGAATTATTTAAAAATGTAGAATCAGGTTTGGATGTCAGAAAACCAAGTCAACTTTACCTGGTTTAAGGTAACTTGCAAAAATCCAACCAAACCTAACCAAGAGCATATGCAGTAGGATCAAAAGTTCAGTGTTAGGTGTGTGCGGTCAAAGTAAATGCACAGTCAGAATTTTTCCTCCTGTTTCTTGCTTGGAACAACCACAGATATGTTTATTATTCGGTTTTTCATTTTACACTTGATTTTATGCATAAGGATTTTGGGGATATGCTAAACACTTTTTATGTTTTGCAAGTTAAATGTAATATGAGTGTGAGGTCCATATGTTGGCAGTGAAATATCATCTCTTGGTTGCACTCAAATTATTTGCCCCATTTCTTCACCCCTTGAAGCCTGAAGCTCATGTAAATAATATTTAAGATTTCAGTTCTAACCTCAAAGAAAACGCATGCTTTCCATGACAGTGATCAGTTGGTTAATGTTCCTTAAGGAAATAATCATTGTTTATTCTGGGGATCATACAAAAAAACACATAAATACACTGTATAGGTGAAATGCAGAGTTGTTCAGTGCTAAAGGAGGAGTTACGTGTAGTTATCACGAGGCTTTAAAGGATTAATGCTATATACAGGTTCCTTTTTTTCCAGGTGCTGATATTGACTTTGGGGGAATGTTCAGATTCTATACCTCCTTGCAGTGTGTTTCTGACATATTACATTATTCAAAGAGAATAATTTGTGATGTATCAGAATTACTTGTTATTAATGTGAAAGGTGTGACTCTGGACTCAAAGTCAGTGATCAAGTTTCATTTTCCAAATCCTTTATCTGACTTTTTGCAGAGGGAAAATGTTATTATGCCAAAATCTAAGAAAGTGAATTCAAATCGGTTTAAGCCATTCCAGAAAATTAATTCTAACAAAAAGAAGTCGGACCATAACAAAAAGGTGTCAGTACCTAAGAATTGTCCAAACCGATTTGGACCGGAACACAAAAAAGATCAAACGTCTTGTTCTCTACCACAATCTGTTGAGTCCTCTTCAGAAAACACAGACTCTGATGTGTTAATTGTGTTTGACTCGAAAGAGCAGGGCTTGCGAGACGTACAGCAAGAAGTGATACCTACTGACATTGACAAGATTGACGTCTCAGTAATAACTATGGGCAACTCTGATAGTTTTGCATGTGGCACTGGTCTGCAGCAAAATCCAGGCGGTTGGTATTGCAGTGCAACCACGTGGGCATGTAGTAACGTCCAGAGTACCTGCTCTTCAGAACTTCCTGCTGTTGAGAACATGGTTCTTAAAAGTGTGCAACCGCATGATGGAGCATCAGAAACTGGAACAGCCTCCACAAAAGGTATATCTGTTCAGAGGAAATTGGTATTGTGTAATTCTGTTTGTTCATGTCAGGAGCCTGGCTCTTGGTATGGCCTTGAAAGTGTACCAGACTACACCAGAAACTTTATTCAAAGCAGCTGCCATGATTTTTAAGGGTAATGATTTGGAGTGATGGCACATAGCAGCCGTCATAATCGCATCCTTTAAGAGATGACATATTTTGTGTTTTAGTGTACAGTTTCTTCATATATCAAAGAAGTTGAACATACAACTGAAAACCGAGGTATTTCTAAAATGATGCTGGACCTAATTTACGGTCAACTTTTTCACACTTCTACTTGATATCAGGCCATGGATTTATATCTCAGCCCAAGTACTAGCTATCCTGCCTGTTTTTTCTGGTTTTCCTCAGTCACCATAGCCAAATGCCAGGATATTGTCTTGAATTAGACCACGGCTGTTGAATCATTTTATCCATCTGGATTTTTTTGACATTTACTTGAGTTGATGTAAACTACTGTCAATTGCCAAACCCTCTCAACCTTTTTCGTACAGGAATAACAAATTCAAATCCCTGTTCTATGGGGGCTGCTGGCTGGAATGTTACTCTGGGGTTAATAGTTTAGCAGCAGGTTAGCACAGCGCACGGCCATCTGGATTACACATAAGCCGTGATGCGCAGATGATAAAGGTTAAATTGTCACCGTAATGGGGTATAATGCTATTTGCTCTAATGAAGATGGTTCTAATTTACATAATTTATGTGTTCACTGTATTGTAACAAAATTCCAGATCATGTACTGGAGAATTCAGAAGGATGTTGACCCCAGTGCATTCAATATATAGGAAATAGCAACAGGATTGTTGTGGTGTTATCAGAGTTGCATTTTTTCTTACCATTATGTGATAAGATAATGATAAAAACTGATACACTATTGTGGTCATCAGTCAAGTGAGGCCTTTCCATAGGAAGGCACAAGGAGGAAACAAAAAACCTGTTTAAAAATCTTTGTTAAGAGTGTGGATAATATATCAAAATATATGGAAGCCGACCTCCAGAAACATTTCAAGCTGAGGGAAACTGCGGAACCCAGGCTGTCTAGTACGTATTTAACCCACTGGAATACCGTTCCGTCAGTTAGACACAATATTGTGTGTGTACAGCAAAGAAAATTGTTGTACAACAGACTTCATGAACTTATTTAGACCACTGTGCAGGGAGAACTGACATCAGTCTAAGTAGAAGCAAATCAGAAATTACAGTCAGGTGGTTCGTATTTGAGAGATCAAACTCAAATCTTGGTCCAGAGACATGCTATCCAGGATTGGGATTGTAATGGGCTTTCTCAGCCTCATTATGTGGGTCTAAATAACTTAAAGTAGATGATGATATTATCATATCCATTTGAGTGTAACTAGTGAAATGTGAAAAATTATATTTGACGTTTTTTGACAGTGCATGATTGCTTACAACCAGTTCATCTGGCTGTACGTCACAGTAGCACATCACTAAACTGTTGATCCCCGAGTTAAAATGCAGCTGGTAGCCCCATAGTACAAGTGTTTAAATTCTCTATACTTATATGCTAAAGATTAATATTAGTGAATCACTAAAAGTGCTCAAATGTTTCAGTATACAGTGAAACCTCGATGCATCGTTTTCGGCGGGGGTGGGAAATAAAAACGATGAATGCGGGAAAACAATAGATGCGGGAAAGCATTAGTCTCCTGCAGGAGTTCCGCTGGGAGGTGTTTAATCATTCACCCTACAGCCCGGATCTCGCTCCCAGTGATTTCCATCTTTTCCTACACCTCAAGAAATTCCTGTCCGGTCAGTGTCAGCGTTTTGAGAATGACAGAGAGGCGGAGATGGTTGTCACACAGTGGTTCCAATCCCAGGCGGGCGACTTCTACGACACAGGTATTCAAAAGTTGGTCCCACGGTATGACAAATGTCTCAATTCCGGTGGCGAATATGTTGAAAAATAGCTGGACACTTGCTGTATCTGTTGCAATAAATATTTCCATGAAATTGTGTTTTGTTTCTGTAAACGGCCCCAGGGAAACTTACTTTAAGGACGAGCCTCATACTATTACTGCCGAACTCAACGAAACGTAGCTGTAGAAGACCCAGAACCGCTGGAAACGAGATGAACCAGAAGAATGAAAAGTGCCGCCCGTCTTTCCTTTGTACTTATAATAAAAGCATTTGTGAAGAAATTCACACTGCACATGCCATCTGGCATCGCTGGAACGAAATATGAGTGTACCCTAATTAAAATCGTAAAATTTCTGACAATGGGCACCGCCATTCACTCCAACTATCACCCCTGCACCGCTGACCCTCATTCCAAAAGAATGTGCTGGTTGGGCGACATAACAGGTTACCGCTACTGTTTATTCCAAAAACATTGTGCGTCTTTCGGTATTAATTTATCTCTAAACCCAGCATTTTAAATTCTCAGGAACGATCATTGCGGGAAAATTGTGGGCCGGGACTACGATTTTTGAACGATCGATGCGATAAAACGATAGTTCGAGGAACGATAGAAGCGGGAAAATGTAACATTATTTTATATGGGATGTATTCGGGACCGAACAAAACGGACGATGCATCCGGGAAAACGATAGTTCCGGGAACGATGGATAGAGGTTTCACTGTAATTACATTATCCATAATTTCGTAATAACTTTTATTTTGGCACTGCTAGCTATACTAAAGGGTAACGTATCAATGCACAGATTGGTTATTAGTGAATTTAAATCTGTCCCAATAAATTTTTACTTCTAGATATTGTTTAGTCATACATTCCTCACATTTAGATCCTGCCTACTGTGGATACCAGAATTAAATTTTATGGCACTTTATGTTGAATTTGTAGGCAACAGAGTGGCATTTGGTTTGTGTTTTCTTAAAATTCTTCGCCATTCCATCTCCTTGAGTAATATTTTTTTTCTGTTGGTATTTTTCAGATTGGTCAAAAAGGAAAACAATGAAAGAAAAGAGACAGTGGCAGAACACAGGTTTTGGATCTTATTTTGCATGTGAGTTCCTTCATGTTATTGACAGATAACAGAATATCACAAATGCTTTCCTTGTTGCTTTATCTATTTATCTGGTAATTAACTTCGTTGCCTGGTAACCATTTTTAATGCCTATATTAGGAACATTACACGAAAAAGACTAATGAAATTGGTATTACATGATAGATGTTTTGTGTTCCCATGGGTCATGATTGATACATAATTTTAAATGTTTTGTCTCTAATTTATATTTTTATTATTATCATAACAGTCATCATCATCATCTCAAATATTACGTAATGTTATTATGTTTCATGCTGTCTCTTGAGCTGTTTTTCTAAATTTGTTAATGCTTTTGCATTTCCTAACACTTTTTAGTTTGTAGGAGGGATAATTCAGATGTATGGGTACATGAACGTAACCAATCCACACTGTTAAAAACTGACACATTTTCATGGTTGTTGATGCAATGGAATATCAATAGCTAGCCTCAGACTTGGACAATAAAAATAACGACATTGAAATTCCCAGCATAAGACCCATAGACAGTGATGATCGTCTGCAGGAGATAACTCATAGTTGTTATATTGACCACCAAGTCCATTTATAAGAAATAAGGCTCACATTCCCAAGTCGTCTTTTTTACCTGGTGATAGGTGCAGAACCCAGCTTTTGAAATGTTAGCTGAGCTCTGGATTTTGTATTGTTTTTTTTTCCTAATGTTTTAACTTTCAGACTCATTAGTGTTTTATTCCTAACTCTAGCACTACTCAAATGTGGACTGTGGCTCTTGTGCAGCAGTTGTTGATTTCTCAACAGCATATAATTTTCCTAAAGTGTAATAATAAGTTGATATAATTGCGTCATATTGTGAATTAAAATTTAATTATTCGTGTTTTTTTTCCGTCTAATCACAATTGTATATAAATAAAATTTATACATAAGATATTAAAATATCATTTACATATTTGGTACATCTTT